GTTACTTTTTATATATGTTTTTGTTTTTATTAAAATGTTGTTTATATTAATGTGATGGTGTTGTGGGTTTATTATTTTGAAAGTATTTGTTTAAACTTCTCCATTTTAGTTCCTAATATGGTAAAAGAAAATCTATAGATAAACAGTGACTTCAATACTTTAGGAGTGTCCTGAGACCGAAAGCTTTGAGCTACCGGCTCACAGAGAGCCTCATAAGCCTAATTGTCCCGGGCCTCGGATTTTATTCACCTTGTTCTCAAATCTGTCCCGTTCCTCGGGTCTGCCGCCATTGGTACTGCCAGCATCAAGGAGAAAGCTGACATTCTCATCTATTCCAAGGGACTGGGTCTCCCCACTCAACTCAGTACGCAGGGTACCAGATACTCTAGGAGTAAAACACTATGAACGCTACAGTAAACACCCCGATTTCCAAAAGCAATTCAAGTCCAGCTCCCTTCACAAATGCCGAGTCTGGTTTAGGTATGGGGCAGCTTGTCGGCACAGCACACCAGATTCATCAGGAGAACACTATCAACTCAGCCTTCTCCAGTGTTCCCTGGGGAAGCCCGCCCCTTCCTCTGGCCCATCCTTCCCTCTGTGCAGGCCAGGCATCACTGAGACTGTGATGCTCAGCTCCTTCCAGTCTAGAGTTCACACGTCAGTTCCTTCCCCCTTGGAAACACACATCCCTTTATAAAGTCCCTTCCAGCGATGCTGGATCCTGTTGGAAAGGTCTTCAGGTGTCTCAGTGCAAACTGCACACGAAGGTCAAAGCCCAGTGGATGCAGCGCCACTCGGTCCCATTCTTTGTGGCCAACAGCTTCTCGCCACCACCAGAAAAGCAGACATGCAGATGAATGGTGAATGAGCAGACAAAACACCAAAACCACGCTCACCAACCAGCAGGCTTGCACCCACGTACCCATGCGTAGAAAAGTCAGCAGGGCTTTCTTTTTCCAGGATTAAGTAGACATGTGACACTGGCCAGTCAACAGAAACATGATTGTTAGGACACTTCTTTTTCATCTTCAACTTTCTTAGTGATTCTATCCTAAAATATTACCTTCTCTTCTTCTGCGTTCCACCAGGGATTCAGCAAACCTCGTTCTTCATTTCCTTGCCAGAAGTTAATCCACCCAAAAGCTTATCTTGAGAATTAACAGCTGTGTGCAACTTACTTGAAGCCACGTAATTTGGTCCCAAAGGGCCTGAAAAGGTTGTCATAGAAAAGAGCAGCACACGCTTGCAGTCCACACTTGCAAGGCTGAGGCAGAAGGACTGCAAAGTTTGAGCCAGCCTGGGGTATTAGTTCAAGGAGAACCTAGGCTACGTCACAAGGTCTCAAACAGCATCCACAGGGGCCGATCCACCGCTGGCTGTTGTCTCCTTTGCCAGCTATGAGGCCACATTTTCTGCCTCATCTTATCTAAGCCACTTGCTTCCTGAGAGGCTGTGTCTCAACGCGTCTGAGACACCCTACCCAAGAATGTAGATGGAGACTCTGAGTTTCTCACCCAGGTGCTCCACTGCCTAAATTTTGGCTGTGGAAACGTCTTTATCTATATGTCTAACAGTGCGATGGCAACCAGAAATTCTTTCTGCAAAAATTAAGCCTACCCATATGGGGAGGAGAAGGCAGCTGGGGGCACTTTCTTCTAAGTTTCTATTTCTGCCTCTACAACTCTGCATCTCCACAGGAAAAACCAGCACAGTGGATAACCATCCTCACTCTTTAGTCACAGCACACAGAAGGGCCAGGATCCCTCCAGCTTTGAGGTTTATCTCAGCACTACAGCAGGCCCACTCTTCCTGTAGCTCACATTTAGCTCCTTCTCCTTAGTTTTATAATTGCTGTCACTCTGTGGATTGTTTCCAAAATCTTGGGCTTCTCTATTAACTCCACCAGTGAAACGCCCGTTTGAAACTAGAAAGCCAATTATTCACTCAAAATCCAGGCTTCGTAAGATGAGAACAGGATTTGTTTTAACCCACTCTGTACCCTGCTGTAGCCCCAGAGCCTAGAACTGGGCACAGCGCAGACGATGATGAAAGGGTGAATGAGTCGGTCAGGGTTTCCAGATTTGCTTATAAACGAGATCCCTCATCCTCCACGCTCACCACACTGCAATGGCATCTCAACCCTTCCTCACTCCAGACAATCTCCTAGTCAGTTCCAGAAACATAACCGACCCATCCCAGCCTCCGACTAAGCCTGGCTTGGGGTCCCACCTGGTTATCTTACTACTACTCACACGCTATCTCTCCACTGACACTGCAGTTACCATCCCTCAGGCCTCCACCCCCTCACCGAGGATCTGCTCAAACAGCACATTAATCCCCAGGCTCTCCGCCTTCCAGGCTACAATCCCTAGAACTGAAAAAGTTTTCAGTTCAGATCACCTGGCCTTTCCCTAAGCCCCATTAGGGGATCCTTCCCACTTTGAGATTTTGGATCAAATCCAAACTCCTTAGGTCACCATTGCTGGGAGGTCACCAGGAAGTCCTGATGAACTGGGTCCAAAGCCCAAGCTACAGAAAAACACAGATGACTGCTTTTGCCCATACTATCTGCTCCGTACTCGGCTCTCTTCCTTTGCCCATCTGCAGAGCTGCACCTGATCTCAGGACTCATGAAATATGTGCCTCTCTCTAAAATGCCCCCCACTTACAGATCCACTCGGCAACAACTCTACCAACCAGGAGCTTGCCAAGGCCGGGGACTGTCACGGGTCCATGCTTGCATTCACAGTACCGGACATATAGAGGAGTGTTATAATCAGGAAAAAGAGAAAGAGGGGGGCAAAGAGGAAAAGAGAGGGAGAAAACGTGAATGTGAGGAAATAATGGGTCACCATTTCATGCAGATTCATCAGGTAGAAACAGGTCCCTGCCATGATGCTGCCATAATTCCAGAATAAGGAACAGGGGAGAAGGTGGCGGCTAACAGTTTCAAAAAGGGTGAGAGACTTGGACAGATGCATGCTATTGCTAGAGTCCTATCCACATGTTTTTCAAAATGAGCAGGGAAAAGCAAACAAATCAGTCTTGAGAAAATGGTTCAGGGAGGGTATACTGAATTTAAAAATCAGTAACAGTTCATTTAACCTTCCCTTTATTTTTTTTCCTTCCCTGTCCATTTTCAAACTTTTTATAAGTATATAATGTGCATTTGTTTTAAAGTTAAATTTACTAAATATACCCTATTTGAAACTTAAAATTCATTAAGTCCTCTAGAATTTTTTTGTATTTTTCTTGAGGGAGTTTCTTTGAGATTTTAATTTTAAATTAAAAATAAAAAACACCAATAAATTAACAAACGCTGATATTTCCAAAAATTCAACGACTTTGAAACTTAATAACTGAATACACTTAATAACTACACCCATTTTTATTTTTGAAGTCCAAATGATACATCACACAAAGTACACCTCACAAAACTGCTTTCATTATCCTCTGACCCAGCACATTGTATTGTTACATACACTGCAGTGCCGTCCCGCACCAGTCTGGAGATGCCAAAATGTCAAAGAGGGCTTACATCCCCTGATACCATGAAGCCCCAAAGCAGGTGCCACACTCTTAATCGGAAAGACACTTGTCACAGTGAGATCTTTCCAAGGAAACTCAAAACATCATCTGTGAGCTGGTCAACAACAACACTTAAATAACTCCAGACAAAGACAAAGAGAGTTCTCAGGTGAGAATTTTCCTACTGTGTCCATAAATTCTTTAACAACTAATGAAAACAATAAAGAAAGCTCAGGGGAAAGAAAACCCACCCTGGCCAGAGTACAAGTAAATAAATGACAGGGAGCTCAGGTCAGGAGAAAACGCCCACTGGACTCCCGGCAGTGCTGGACGGCAGACAGACGGCCGGACTAGGAAAACTCAGGCACTCTGATTTAAACCATCACTTCTCCTCCCAAGGTCCCTCTCCTGGGGCTTTTAATTGTGTAGTTATGCAGCATTTGAGCACCACAAAACACAATACAGCTTTAATGTAGCTTTTCAAAATCAAACTTAATTCTCTATACTTGCAAAATAAATGTTCCCTCAATCTTGAAGATTTATAGTAAAACATGGGAACTCTTTTAAATTGTGGGGAATGGAGTAAAGAAATGTAGCAGATTACTGAGAATCCTGGTTTGGGGTCCCATTAATTTATACACCCATTTCCAGATCTCAAAGACTTTTATCTTATATAAAAACAAGAAAATAAAGTAAGCTGCAGCCCAGCAAAAACACCAAGAACAGTAAGGACCCTGGAACTAAGGCCAAGCAGCCAGATGCAAACCTGAGGGAGCAGGGGAGACATAGAACTCCACTTCCAGACACCTGGCAGCTGTGTTCTGCAGTCTGGACTGTATACAGCAAGACAGATATCACAGTAACAACGCACTGAACGAAAGGTGAAAGACAGAAATAAAAACTTGAGAGGAGAGAGAGAGAGACTGAGACTGGCTGATTCAGGCCAAAGGCGGTGAGTACTGGCAGGTAAGTCTGTCTAATTTTCCAGTATCCTACAGAACAGAGTCAGCTTCCAACCCCGATTTTGACCATAAGCGAAGCAAGGCCTGGAGAGGGAAAAGGACTTGGGTTTCAGTTTTGTCAAAGGAGACAGGAAAACATCTGCATGGGATTTAAAGGCAATTTCTTTAAGTGCTAAAAAGGTCTAACTTGCAAAGGGCTCCAATATCCTCATATTCACTGGGCTTTCCACCAGAATTTCAGAGACATCAACAGCCAACTGGCGGGCGTGAGTTTTCAAAGTTCTCCTTCCTTCTAAGGTCTCATGTAGGTCAGCACTGTCCTGATCTCTGCAGTATGACTAGGTCTGCACCATCTGACTCACTAGAAAACGGGCATACTGACTCCCCCACAGTCAGGTGTTCTGAGACAGCCAACTGCCTCCAGACACTAGTGCTGGAAAGAGCCTTTTCAATTATTGTTATTACTATTAAATCCAAACAAGATGGGGTGTGGCAAAGAAATGCACATACCTTTCAACTGGTCGGCGACCACACTCTGGCCAAGGCGTTCGATAACTCTCCCATCTTCCATTTCATACCTGTCGTCTAAGTATTTTGCAGTGGCCTCAGATATGTGAACTTTGCCAGCCACTCCCAGCTGCTCCATGAGATTGGCCAAATTCACGTCATTGGACCACACATCGAATTTAAACCTCCTCATGCCTAGGATGCCACATAAGACAGTCCCTGTGTGAACCCCGACACGCATGTTCACCATCTCTTTCTTCTCCTGGCAGAACTGCTCGATGGCTTTTATCATGCCCAAGCCCATTTCAATGCAGCAGTAGGCATGGTCTGCCCGGGGCTCCGGACACCCGGCCACACAGTAGTAACAGTCTCCCAGAGTGCTGATCTTCTCACACTTGGTCTCCTCACACAACCGGTCGAAGCGACCAAACAGATCATTGAGGAGACCTACCAAGGCATGAGCGGATTTGTTGGCACTCATCTTGGTGAAGCCCACAATGTCTGCAAATAAAATACTGACCTCTTCAATCTGCTGCATCTTAAAAGGGCGGAATGCTATAGGCGCTTTCTGTATGGAGGACTTCTTCTTCCTGTTCTTGGGGCTGGAGGTGGTGTGCCTCTTGACAGAATTCTCACTCTCCTCATCCCCTTGTTTCATTAGGTCATCAGCTATGATTCTTGGCATCACAGAATGAATCATCCTCTCTTTGAGGGCTTTTTCTACTTCCAGATCTTTGCCGTGCATAATGGATTGCCCCACCTTGAGGAAGGTGCTCCTGGACCTCACCTGAGACATGACAAACAGATGGATCCCAATCGCGTGAATGCACACGTGGAGCAGGGCTCTGCTCAGCAGCTCCCAGTGCAGAGCCCCGGGTCCTGGCGAGGGGAAGCAGTCTTCATTTCGGAACTGATAGCCAAAGGTCTCGAAAAGGACAGAATAGGCTACCCCCAAAAACAAGCTCAGGTACAGAGGTAAGTGCATGACCGTGTAGAGCAGAAAGAGCACTTCAATACACATGGAGAAGCTCCCCACTTGAGATAAGCAAGTGTCCGCCACCTTGGCTGTGAGAGTTTGATTGGAGCTGTCAACACGTCCTGACAGAGGTGTCCAAACCTGAAACTGCGCAGCCAGGGTCAAGGCGAACACCAGCAGGGTGAGAGCCAGCGAGGTCCACGCATAATGCCGGGCGTACAGCTTGGTAAAAGTAAACAGGAAAAAGCCCACACACACCACCAGGAAGCACAGAGCCGGGACCACCATGACAATCACTTTGGCTCTCATGTGGACAGCGAAGTAGATGCTCCAGAGAAGGCAGGCGAAGCCCACATAGAAGAGTGCGTACCGGAAGCGGCGCTGGGTCTGTGGGAAGCAGCGCTCCAGACAGGCCTCCTCCAGGTTCACGGAGTCGAATTTGGGGTCCCACCAGCGGCTGGAGGCCCTCTCGAACAGCTGGGGCAGTTTCTTCTGCCTGCGCAGGCGACCCCCGCCGCCCATCCTTCGGGGAAGCCCCCCAGAGTCTCCCGAGCTGCTACAGCTGGAGGAGATGCTGTACTTGCAGTGCTTCGGGTGGGTGTTGGAGGACAGCTGCTTAGGGTTGATCTTGACCCTCACGCTGTTGCTGTCTCCGCTCGAGTCACAGCTCACCTCGGTGCTATGGTGATGCAGCAGCTGCTGGTGGGGTGAGGAAGCCATGTTGCCGAGCTCTTGGAACCTTTCCCGACCGGGTCAGGGGTACCTGCGGGCAGAACAGCAGAATTAGAGCGGCCTTACTACACACACTCCCGGAGGGCCACGCGACCTGTGCTTGTCGCGAGTGCGAGCTCCGGCGAGCCACTTGGGAAGGCACCATATGCTCCCAAAAACTGCCCATAAAGGCGAATAAAAGCGCCAAGGCGAGCCAGAACCGCTCGGGCCGTACCTGGTGCTCCCCGGGTTCCCGTGCCGCGGCGGTGCTGAGTCTTGGGTCCCGGGCGCGCTGCACTGCGCTCCCCCTCGGGCGCCGTCGCCCGCTGGTGGCCTCTACCCGCGCGCCTCCAACTGCGGCTCCAGAGGGAAGTTCAGACCTTGAGCGCTCCGGGCACCGGGAGCGGCTTTCGCAAAAACAACTCGGCCGGAGGCGAGCAGCGCTTCATCCTGCCGCAGAGGCGCCCGGTGCGTCAAAGCGCGCGGGCCGACCTGCGGCTCCTGCCGCGTCCCGTCCCCGCGCCGCTGACCACCAGCGGGCTGCCCTGGCCCGCGCCCCCGCCCGCGAGCTTGCGGAACCCGAGGGCTGCCCGTCTGAGCAGCCGCTCTAGCAGGGCCTGCTGCCCGCAGCCCAACGCGCCGCACCCCCGCCCAGGGCCGAGCTCGGGGCACTGCGCGGGCCCCTCCGAGGACGGCGGTGCGGGCTGCCGCAGAGCCCGACTCCCGCGACGCCGGCCGGCCCGCACGCCGCTCGCCCGCACGCCGCGCCCACGCCCCAGGGGCCCTGCCTGAGCTACAGATGCCGCTGCGGCTGCGCCCGCCGCCAGCCCTCCCGCAGCCGCTGCCTCATGTCGGAAGAGCAGCCGCCGCAGCCGCCGCCGCCACCATCTCCGGCCCCCTCCCCCTCCCGCTGTCACTGACAGACGCGCGCCCGCGCCGCCCCTCTCCCCGCCGCAGCGCGCACGCGCGGCCCGCGCACGCGCGGCCCGCGCACGCCACCGCTGGGTCCGGGCCACGCGCACAGGCAGCGCGCCGCGCCGCCCCGCCTAGGAGCGCGCGCCGGGCTCGGGGCTGCAGCGGGGCGGGGCGGACGCGCTCTGGGCCCCGCCCTCCGCCCCGGGCCGCTCCGCGCCTGGGCCGCCTGCTCCAGGCACCCGGCCTCCGCCTCCCTCCAAGGCCTTGGGTGCCTCCGACTACTTACCCCGTAGCTGGGTCTCCAGGTCCGCACAGGAAGCGTCTGAACGCAGTCTACCTTTTGGATACATCCAAGTTTTCAGCAACTGACCATGCTTAATTGTAACTCCCCTTCTGCCAGCAGCGAATGTGGGCTCCCAGTGGCGCTAGGCCCCTCTGAACTTGCCGGGGAGAGGGGGCGTGGAGAGGTGGCCATGGCCAACCAGACCGTGGTTGCCTCTCAAGAGGAGTGCCACTGAGAACCACCTTTTCCAACCCCTGGGGAAGTTTATCTTCTCACCTCTGAATACCTCTCATCATCCTTATGAACAACTGTTTTTCTCTCTCCACAAGGGAAACTAAAAGAAGTCAGCTTCCCACGAAAAAGTTCTACACTGGTCTGTGTAAACTCTGCCCCGAGTAAACACAATCTTATATTCCCTAGTCTCGCCCTGGCCCCCACACAGAACAGTGCTTTCCTGTCAATCACAGGGGACTTTTCCTTCCCTCCCTGACCTCCTCGGCCCATCCCAGAAGTCCGCACCAGTCTCACTGCGGAATTAGGAAATAGGAAAGTAAAATACGGACTATCCATATAATGGATTATTATTCGACTATAAAAATTAATGAATTATACTTGCTACAACCTCTGAAACATCCTGAGTAAAAGAAACCAAACACAAAAGGCCACATGTTGTATGACTGAATTAATGTGAAAAGTCTAGAACAAACAAGTCCACAGAGACAGGTGGTGGATGCCCGCGGTTGTATGAAAAACTGGATACTGACTCCACTACCAAGCCTGGGGTTTCCTTTGGGGTGATGAAAAAGTCTGGATCTAGTGGGAACACAACATCCTGAATTCCGTAGTGGTTACATGCTATGAATGTATCCTTTGAGTTGCTTTAACGATAAGTTAAAATTGCATAAATGATAGATTTTATACTGTGTATTGCACCACAATAAACAAATAGGAATTTTTAAAAGTAAATGTGTCGTTGCTGATATATTCCAGTCCAAAATGCAAAATCTCCACCTACTTATGAAGAAACATCTGAGGAAGGAACTCAATCTAAGACATACCCCACAACAAAATTGCTCAGTACCCTTCAACAGTGCCAGGGTCACAAAACACAGAGCCTAAGATATTGTCACAAGTTAGGAATGGTCACTAAGGGGAAAGGTAGGACAGGAAAAGACCGTAAGGAAGCAGCTTGTGAGATGTGCAGTTTATTCAGTGGCCTTCCGCTGCCCTGTGACTACCTAAGGCGTGCACACTAATGGAAGCTGGTTGTAGGCTACGAGGGAACTCACTAACATCTTCACAACTTTTGTCTAACTCTAAAATTATTTCAGAATAAAGGTAAAAATGAAAATGAAAGTTTATTGAGCATCAGATATGTGCCTTGTGTATCTGAGGTTTGGAAAACTGGAATACACAGCAAAAGCTAGCAGTAATAGTGGTCGGCTAACACTGACCTGAGTGTTGAAGTGTCTAGACCAATAGACACTTTCCATAGTCACCTATTTGTTCTTGACCACAACCCCCTGAGGAAGGTATTATTGTCTCTCATTTAGAGACATGAGATCAGGGACTCGAAAGTAACATACCCAAATTCTCACAAAGGGCAATAATAAGTTCGTATTTAAAACCAGACCTTTAGAGGTCAGGACACTCTTGAACGTCACTGTGACCCAGCTCGGGCACCGCCTATCTCCTCTCTCATCCCGCCTTGGTGAGAGGCCCTTGGAGACAGGTTCAACCATTTCCATTTTCTCCCTTAATACATTGCTGCACTCACTTCCTGGTCAACTTAAACCAGCGCTTCTCAACCTGTGGGTCGGATGACCCTTTCACAGGGGTCACATAAAACCATCGGAAAACACAGATACTTGCATTACGATTCATAACAGTACCGAAATTACAGTTATGAAGTAGCAACAAAATAATTGTATGGTTGGGTGTCACCTCAACATGAGGAACTGTGTAGTAAAGGGTCATAGCAGTAGGAAAGTTGAGAATCACTGCCTTAAACAATGGAGAAGTTCACCTGTCTGCACTTTTCCTTGCCTCCCACAAACCCTTTTAATCCACCCACCATTTGTGGCAACTTTCAGATTCCTAGATTCACTTGCCAGGTTGTTAGACGTGGGTAATGAGCATATTTGTGTCATTCCCTTCTCCCTGATAGGTTTCTGGAAGTCATGAGACTGCATTCCCTGCTGATGAAACTCCTGTTGAAACCTACAAGCTGCCAGAGATGTCCTGAGCTCCAGGCCAGGGTGTGAATCATTCTGTAAGCCCTTGTGGATGGGGGATATGGTACCAGCACTGTGCATCAAGCCCTGGAGTACAGTGATGTGCCATCCCAATTTTTAATAGGCCCTGGAAGGAAGATTGGGTTATGAAGATAGAATCAACTCTGCTTAGAGACAGATTGGATGTAACAGAGAGTTCTACAGAAAATATTAATCACATTATCATAATGCCAAAAACCTTGGGGACCCACAGAAGGGTCCATCTTCTCTACCTCCACAAAGTGCAAAGGCCTTCATACCCAGGACGTATGAGACAGATGTAATAGCTTTCTCCAAACAGCCAGCCCACAGTGCTACCAAATCCATAAGGCTCTTTCCATCTCAGATTCACTCAGAATGCTCGTTCTGACCCAGTATGGATCAGAATGTGTTTGTGCAAACTCTACAAACAGTTACAGAGGCCTGCCTGACTCAGCCTCTAATCCTCACTTTCTCTCATTCCCAAGTTTGACTGTAACTAGCAAGGGGGAGGTGTTTTGCTCCACCCCTTGGCATTGTTATAAATAGACCTTTGGCATAAAGTTCTGAGCCTGTTAGGATAAGGATCCAGGCCCACCCGAGTCCATCCTGTGCTTTCTAACTAAGTCTCTTATCCCTCATTCCTCAAGAGTTCCTGGGGTAAGTAAGTATGGGGGCTGGTCCGCCACACCAATACACACACACAGGAGCATGCCCGCTGGCACTCCAGAATCCAGGCCTCTAGAACTATAAGGGAATAAATTGTTCTTGTTCTAAAAAACCTAAATTGTGGACAATTTGTTACGGGGTGGGAGCCTCAGAAATCTAATGCAAGCCATTTCATTTCAAATCACAAGAGCCTGAACTACAAAGAACTGTTGTGTGACCCCTCTAGCCAGAGTGGATAAAGGAGAGGAGGGTGGTGACCCCGACTTCATAGCAGATTAGTGCAGACCCTCAGCATTGTAAAAGCTCAAGAGCTTCGGGGTTCTCAAGGATACCACAGGGTACTGACCAGTTGGAGGCAAGACAAGGAGGTTCTGCTCACTTTTGTTGAGAGAAACTCGGAAGGCCCTGAAACTCTGGTTACACAGCACTGTGCCCACTTTACAGGCAAAGACTTGGAGCTAAGAAATACAATTCTTTGTCTGTGCTACTGAGCTGTCAAGTATCTTGTGGATCCCAGGATTGGTACCGTGAGCTCAGGTGCAAGCCGCTTGACCCTTGGTCTGGAACTTGCTTTTTTTCTCTTAAATTCTCCTGCTGTTGTAAAGTTTCACCGACCCCTCTTGGGTGTGTGTTGGCGGCAGGGGTGAGGGGGGTGGGGGGTTAAGGGTGGGGTGGGATGGGGAGGAGTCTGTTTCCATCCATGTGTCAGGTACTTGCTGGTTTCTTTCAGTCAGTCCTTATTCAGGAAACGTTTCTCGAATTGTGTCTTTGATGATTCCACCATTCTGTTTCCTCTTTCTGAAGCTCTAGTTATAATGATTATTTAGCTCTTTTTGCTTCCGAATGTTCCCACTCCCTTTTAATATCTGCAGGTCCTTATCCTTGGATTAATCACATTTTCAAGAAAAAAGCTCTTCCAGCCCACTGCCACTCAGCTGTAAAGGGCAGATGGCAATCTTAATCTTCAGCACCTAAACCTTCAGTTAGAAGGGCTCTGTTGGAAAAGCGCCTGCGGAGCAAGCACGAAAACCCAAGTTCCATTCCACACCCACGTGAAAAGCTGAGCAGCATTGTGTTTGCATGCCTGCAATCCCGGCCCTGGGGAGACAGAGACAGGAAGATCCCTGGGACTTGGTCGGTCAGCCTAGCCAGGCTGGTGAGCTCCAAGCTTAGTGAGGGAACTTGCCTTAAGAATTAAGGTGGAAGTGGTCCAGCAGGACAGTGATTAACTTCTGGCATGTATGCACACAAAACACACACATATGTGCAAACACACAGGTATGCAAACCAGCTCTTTGGAACCACTTCAATCCTTATTTTGGAGGCTGGTGTGTCTGCTATGATGAATCTAAATACCATTGGTATCTACCGTGGTAGAAGCCTGAAGATTTGTTATTAAGATGCATATCTCCATTGGGCACATAGTGGTATAAAATAATCATTAACATTAACTATATATATACTATTAATTATATAATCATAATCATTAACTCAAATATATGTTCACAAGCCAGAAAAAAAAATGAGTCAATGCCAACAAACATTTTGAACACAGAATAACTCCAAGAGAAAGTACACAATGACATCTATAATAAGCAACATCTGAGACAATTTAAGTTGCTGGCTGCAGGCTGCACACAACCATTTTGGTTCTCTGGAGAGCTCTGCTGTTCAATGCATTCATTATGCTCCAGTGCTCCCTGAGAGGAATCTTACACAAGTCATGATGGAAACCCGGCTTTGCCAGACATGGGGGTGCATGCCT